AAGGCCGCCGCGCCATCCGTCAAGCCGCCGCAGCCCCCAACGCAGCCACCCGAGGTGGCGTCCACGACGCCTTCGCCCGCCGCTCACGAGACACCGGCAGCGGTCCCAAAGGCCGAAGACACCAGTGACGCCTTGGCCGTGCCGGACGACCCGACAGAAGACGCCGTGACGCCGCTCAAGGAGGAGGCGGCGACGGAGCCAGCCGCCGCTGCTTCTGCTGCCACCAACGCCCCGAAGCTGCAGGGCGCGGCGTCCGCGGCCGGCTCAAACAGGGACCCCAGCAGCAGGGAGCGGGACCGCGAGCGGGACCGGGATCGGGACAGACACGATCGTGACCGCGAGCGTGACAGGGAGCGAGAACGAGACCGCGATCGCGGCCGAGACAGCAGGTCCGGCGGCAGCGGGGCCGGCGACCGTGATCGGGACCGTAGCGACAGAGACAGGGACCGAGATATCAGGGACCGATCGAGCGGTGGAGGCCGAGACAGGGACCGCGACAGGGAGCGGGAGAGGGACCGCGAACGGGACCGCGACAGGGCGAGGGACACCGGGAGGGAGCGAGAACGCAGAGACAGCGGCGGCAGGGACCAGCCAAGGACGAGCAGCGGAGGAAACAACAGAGACCGGGACCGAGACAGGGCCGAGAGGAGGACTTGATATCGGGGCTTGCGTCACCACCATCAACTATCACCAATTATCATCACATCTCAAGTCTTTGTGTATCATGGGAAAATCAAAAATAAGTTTTATGTGGCCACTGGTTCCTCTTCTTGACGTCAACAAGAAGCATCAAACAGCATCATCATCAGGCACGGATTCGAGCGAAGAAGACGCCGTGGGGCTCGACTGTGGTGGTGAAGCCGTTGTTGTAGTGTCCGATGTCCTTTCGCGCCCACACGTCGCGCACCGCATGCCAGCTGCCGGGCTTGAGGCCCACGACCGACCAGGTCACTGTGTGCGTTGTGCGCGGTCATGAGATCATGGCGCCAGCAAAGCAGAGCGCCGGTGTGTGAGTGTCGTGAGGCACGAACCGGGGATGACGGCTTGGACGGAGGCGCGGTTGAGGGTAATGACCGCAACGTCTCCGTTGGCCAAAGGACCGGCCCACACGTCGATCGCGCCATCGGCGAAGGTCTTGTTCCACACCTTGTGGCCCTGTTGAAAAGCAAGATTGATCGATTGATTGGAGGAATTGTTTGGTTGATCAGTCGCATTAGATTGATCACAACGCGCCGAAGGTGGGGGGGGGGTGGAACGAAAGGTGCACCTGAACGCCCAGCGGGTCCTGGTTGATGGCGATCACTTCGGGGGCCGTCAGGATCTCAAAGACCTCGCGCGAGAGGTTGCGGATGTCGCACCTATGCAGTCGCTCGCAGGGTCTAATTAGTGGGTGTCGTTGGGTGTCGTGTGGCACACGATGTGCGGTGTGTCTACCCGATGAGGAGCGGCGCCTTGGCGAGTGCCCAAAGGGAGAAGTGCGACTTTTGCTCGGTGTGCGTGAGGCCCTTGTTGCCCACCTCCAGCTGGACCACCAGACCCACACCCAGCGGTCACGAACAACGAAAAAGAGCGAAGACAAAGGCACGAAGAGCGAAGAGAGAGAGAGAGAGATGAGGCGGTTACCATGTCGGGATCGTTGAAGCCGCCGGGTCCGGCGTACTTCCACCACTCGTCGTTGAGGTCGATGCGGCTCATGACGCTGTCGGTCCGACACCCCAAGAAACACGGGGTAAGCACCAATACGCGCGAATGAAAGGGGGAGGGGGCGCGGCGCTGGTGAGTGAGCCGCGGAGGAGGGGGGACACGGTCGCGTACCTAGCCCAGTGGGCGGAGATGTCCCCGGTGGTGCGCCAGCTGTTGCCCACCAGCGGAGCCCAGGTGGCCGGATTGTCCACTCCCCACTCGCACCTGCAGCCAGCCATTACATCGCGAGAAACCACAGAGTTTTTTTGATATGTCAGTATATACACATAATAAAAATGGGAGCGGACGGTTGGCGATGTGGAGCAGGGGTGGTACATGGAATAGAAGATCTTGCGGTTGGTGGCGTTGAGTGCGTCCCTCATGATGGGATAGCCTGCAAGCGAGAAAGCGAGAGTGGGGTGAGTCCACACGGTAGCGGTGGCAGAACAAAGTTGTACGACGGAGCCGTACGGGTCAGCGGACTGATGTTGTCATTGTAGCAGTTGTCGTACTTAAGGTAGTCCACGCCCCACGAGGCGTACGTGTACGCATCGTTCTTCTCATAGTTCAGCGAACCCGGACGGCCTGCACCACCACACCACAGTCATCAGGCGTTAGCATCATCATCGCCACCACCATCATCCCCGGTCATCCATCAAAGAGGCCCACGCACCGGCGCAGGTCTTCTCGCCGGCGTCGGAGTAGAGGCCGAACAGGAGGCCCTTCGAGTGGGCCTTGTCGGCCAGCGGGCGCACGCCGTTAGGGAAGGTCTTGTTGTCGGGGTGGATGAAGCCCGCGTCGTCTCGCCAGCCCGCCCAGCAGTCGTCCATGTTCTATTATTATTAATTATTAATTATTATTGAAATAAATAACAAAAGAACGAATAAACCCGTGAAAACGAAGCACGACGAAAAAGCGAAAAGGGGGGAGGGGTGAGTACGACGTAGCGGTAGCCGGCAGCGGCGAGGCCAGACGAGATGAGATTGTCGATGGTCTCGTTGACAATCTGTTCGTTGAGGTTGCATGCGAAATAGTTCCAGCTGTTCCAGCCCATCTGCGGCGTTTTGCCCAAGCCGTTGTTCAGCGCCTCAACGCTGCACACTGCCACCAGCAGCGCCACACAGACCGCAGCCACCCCCACCTTCATCTTCTTCACGCTGCGTGCGCACTGTTGTAGCGGGTAATTAATATTGTTGCAGCAGCCCCCACACGCGCCGCAGGCATTGGCCATCCCCGAGCCTATCCGCACAGGCACTTGGCACGGGAGCGTGGCAGCTGGTCTCAAGGCGGTGGCCCGCGCCCGCGAGACGGAGGCCGGCGGAGGCCACACATGGCCGCCCGCAACAGATCTTGTGCGGCGGACCAATGCCCACTCTCCGGCGGAGCCCTCTCCGAGCCACAAAACCCGGCTACCATCAAACCGCGATCAAAGCCTTTCCAACGCAGCAAAGCTCGAATACTCCACACACACAACCAAACGCGAAAGAAAGAACGAGGAAGATGGAGAAAGCGAAGACGGTGAGCAAGGAGGTGAGGAAGGATGTGAAGCAGATGACGTTCCCCTACCACACGGACAAGACGGACGACTTCACCTCCGAGGAGGTCAACCTGGCCAACCGGTGCCACGGACTCCACCTGGAGGGCCTCGACCTGGCCCTCACGCCGGCCGGCATGCACTATCTCCTCATCCACTTTGACATCCCCACTGGGCCGGCCACGGCCGAGTCCACCTACCGCCTCAAGCTCCGCGGGCTGGTCGACCGCCCACTCGAGCTCTCCATGGCCGACATCCGGCGGAGGCCCCGCGTGAGCATCCCCGTCACCATGGAGTGCGCCGGCAACGGCCGCATCAACATGAAGAAGAGGCACAGACTTCATCCCCCCCTAACCCCCTCTTCACCTTCATAATCTTCACATTTTGTTTCGGGGTTTCCTTTTATTAGCAGAGTTTATTTGTTTGCGTTGATTGGCTGAGCTGACGTCAGCAAGTGCCCTTCTTCTGCCGCAGGTATTGGACACACGTACCGTGGCAAAATGAGGCGCTTGGCACGGCGGTGTGGACGGGCACGCCGCTGAAGGACCTCCTTGAGGAGGCCGGCCTGCAGGACAAGGCCATCGAGCTCCTCTTCACCGGCCTCGACAAGGGCCTCCAGGGCGGCGAGATGCAGTACTATCAGCGCTGCCTCACCATCGATGACGCCACCCGCGAAGAGGTGCGCAGAACCTGGCCTCAATCGAGCGTGTATATTTGCTGCCCATGTTGCTGATGTGTTGATGTGATTGGTTGTTGATATAAATTGGTGCGACAACAGGTGATCCTGGCGTACGAGATGAACGGGCAGCCGCTGCTGCCGCAGCACGGGGCGCCACTGCGGCTCATCGTGCCGGGCTGGTACGGCATGACCAACGTCAAGTGGCTCGACTCCATTGAGGCCATCTCGACGCCCTTCGACGGCTACCAGATGCAGGCCTACATGTTCACTCAGTACCCTGGTATAATGGCCATCATAGTACACACACACACGCACGGCACGACACACATCGCACACAGTTTCTGTTTGATATGATAGGCTGACACTGGATTTGCAGGCGACCCGCAGGGCAAGCGGATGAGGCACCTCAAGGTGCGATCGCTCATGGTGCCTCCCGGCGTGCCTGACTTCTTCACTCGCGTTCGCCTCGTCGAAGAAGGTACTCACCACTCTAAGTGACATAAGCTCACATGGTGCGGCTGATGACGGTGGTGGGTGGGCGCAGGCAACGTCAAGCTGAAGGGCCGTGCGTGGGCGGGACCGTTGGCGGTGAAGCAGGTGCTGGTGAGCGTGGACGGCGGCGTCACGTGGGCCGAGGCCACGCTGGCCGCCAAGGCCGTGGGCAAGTTCGCCTGGATCGCGTGGAGCTTCGAGTGGCGCAACGCGCGCGCCGGCGCCAAGCACTTCCTCATGACCAAGGCCATCGACGAGCTGGGCAACGTGCAGGACAACGCCGAGGAGTGGAACTACTACGCCATGGGTGCTACGGTGCCGCAGTCGGTGCCCGTCGTGGTGGTGAGCTCGCCCGAGTGGCGCATCACCGGCAAGCCCCTGCCCAACCCGCCTCGCCACCCCAAGCTCTAACTAAGGGGCTCATGTAGCCTTTATCTCAGTCCCTTGGTTTTTTTGTCCAATGAAATTGTCTTTAAAGAAAAGAAAAAACTTTGTGCAGTACCCCTTGCACTGAGAGAAAGGCCACCCGTAACGTAAATGGAAGAGAAGGAGGCAAGTGAGGAAGCGGCCAGTAATGCTGGGAAACGAAAACGGTGCCTGCTACGAAAAAACAAAAAGCCTACCTCCGCTCAAAAGAATAACAAAGCGAAGGAAGTTAGCAGTGGCAGCAGTGATGAAGAGAGTCGTACCCCTCGTCCGGGCCGCGTCCTAAAGCCCTCGCTCTATGACGAGTTTGTGGCACTCAACCAAGGCACCAAGGTTCCACCCCCCCTCCCTCTTTTTCGAGAGCTCTTTTATTGTCCGCCAATGGTCTCTCAATTTGCGCGGCGGCCCAACAGAAGCTGGGAAGGCTGCGGGAGTGTCGCACGCGAGTCTCGAAGACCGAACACGAGGTGCCCGACAGTACACTCACCTTCGTCACCGACATCAAGCCCAAATACGGTACCTGAGCGGTAGTAGTGAGTTGTACCGGAGCCATGGCCCTTGGCTTGTCTCGGCGCTGACAACAGATTCGCTTGTGGTGCCGGGGGTGGGGGGATCACGAGGCCAGGCGCCAACGAGTTCGTGGCGGTGAACCCGGAGGCCGACTCGGAGGAGGAGTTCTACCTGGCCCAATTGCGTGAGGACGTGTTTGCCAAGGTCCAGTCTGTGGTGCATGTTCTGTGGCTGGACCGTGCGGGTGCGGGCAAGAAGTCCGTGTGGCAGTTCGATGAGTATGACTCCGTCCCATGCGGCTCCATCATCTGCCGTGTCAAGCTCGCGGTAAGTGGGAGCAATGTTACATTGTTATCGTGTGAATTGGTTATTTTGATTTTATTTTTATGCATTTTTTTTTCTCTTCAACTGCCACACAGGACGGAGAAGATGACACGTTGGTACTCTCGGAAGCTGAGAGGCAAAAGGTGCTCACGCTCAAGGAGCTCGACTCGGAGGAAGAAGAGGCCAAGCAGGAGATAGTAAAGGCTCGACAGTTGGCAGCTCCAGAGGTCGCTGATGAAGGCGAAGAAGCAGAAGCCGATGAAACTGCCAGCGAAGGGGATGAGGAAGAAGGAGAGGCCAGTCCCACGAATAGGAAGAGGAGGAGGAAGAAGTCAGCAGCGGTGAGCAAGGTCGAGGATGTGCACCAAAAGAAGGCGCAGCTGAAGAAGACGCACAGTAAGCCGCAGATCATCAAAGTGGAAGAGGAAGAGGAGAAGCTGCTCGAGCGGCTGGAGAAGATTGAGGATCCCACCTTCGTGCCAGGCAAGGCGGTCAACGTCGCCCACCGCGGAGCCCGACGCCAGGCAGCCAAGAGGAGCGCCTCCAAGGTTCCACCGTTTCCTTCTTTTTTCTTCCTTTTTCTTTTGACTCTTTTACTAAGGCCTTAGTGAGTAGAGGGTAGGGACAGCGTCTGGGACCACCACCAGCAGCAGCAGTCGGAAGAGGAGGAAGGCCGATGACGACGATGGCGGTGATGGCAGTGACGAGGGCGACGAAGGCTCGACGAAGCGGCCGCCCAAGCGTGCCCGTACCGCCGCACCAAAGAGAGGGAGGAAAGGAAAGCGCGTGGGCAAGCTGGACAAGTCGGTCAAGAAGATCACCGCCGACTCCACATTCGACGTGGCCGACGGCAAGCTCCGCGGTGAATGCTGCACTCTGTGTAGTAGCCGGGAGGCCATCCGCGCTGTCCTCAGCAACGATCTACCTCTCCTCCAAGCGGTAACACCACGCATGCACGCACACAGCCAACACACACACACACACACACACAGCCAACACATGCTTGGATTCTAAAATGTGAGGCCTGGTTCGCAGGTGGCAACGGACTCGGAGTTCGTGCATTCCTTGTTTGTGCCACGGAGTGTTGATGTGCCGCTGACATGTGTCGAGTATGCGATTAAGGCCAACAACATCGCAGCCCTCAAGATCCTGGTGGGCGCCATCAAGAACGCGCACCAGCACAAACGCGCCAGGCCTACTCGGACCAGCTTGAAGACCATGGACACGGGCTCGTTCAACTATCATACCTACGTACGTAGCGCCGACTGCAATAAGCTGGAACAAGTGACCGGCTCCCTCTGAACTAACATCTTGGGCGTTGTTGCGCAGAACCACGCCGTGCGGAAGGTCGCAGCCTCCAGGGGCGGCAAGGAGGGCAACAATGCATTTGCTGCCGACTTTGGAGAGTACCTCATCCGGGGCTACGAAACCGATCCTGATGAGGCTGGACAGCTGATCAAGGTAACCCGTTATCTTTTCCCCGCAACATGCCAGCAGTGCTCGTTTGTGCATTTACTATTTATTGATGTACTGTACTTGAAATTACCTAAGCTTATTATTTCGGTGTTGTGTTTATTATTGCTATGTGGTAGGTGATACTGCAGTGCCCTGAAGTGCAGCAAGCGACCATCGAATGGCTCATGATCAATTATCCCGACTTCGAAGGGCTGATCGCTGATCACATCTACCAAGCCGTCTATGTACTCCACCGAAATCGCACCTGCATAGTGTAATGCTCATATTGCATGGCATTGCATTCATTTCTCGTGGTGAACTGCAGGTGGGCAACAGGAAGCTGGCCGGTTTCTTCATTGAATGGTTCGAAAAGAAGGGCGGGTGGGGCTTCAATTTCCTCCACAAGCAAGCCTTGCTCAACGATGGCAAGCCCTTCGATCAATACAAGTATAGACCCTTCCCCCCCACCCACCCACAAAAGCCTTTCTCGCTCTGCACGGCTGCCACACTGCCGGACGCCAAGAGGTGAAAAACAGGGCACTAAACTTGCACGTCGGCTCCTACACGCGTGTAGGATCCAATCCGTCGGCAAGAGGCCCAACGGGAATCACTTAATGACGCCGTTCCACTGCGCAGCCATCAACCCCAACACCAAGTACCTCAAGGAGTTGCTGGCGGCCAAGCCCGAGGACCGACTGGCCGACACGATCAAGCGACAACCCATCCACTACGCGGCGGCCTGTACCGGCAGTGACCCACTCAAGCTCCTGCTAGACCGGGGCGTCAGCCACCGGGAGGTGGATCGGGAGGGCAGCACCTCGTTGATGATTGCCGCACAATGTGGTCGTCTCGATTCCATCAAGCTGCTGCTTGACTGGGACAGCCGCAAGATGGCGGAGGCGGAAAAGGAGGCTGAGGAATCGGACAAGGAGCACAGCAGCGACGACGACGAGGTACCCAAACATCTTATTCAATTTTGGTTGTATTTGCTATTTAATTAGTTTATAATTTTAATATATATATATATCCCTGTGTCGTCAGGAGGAGGAAGCGCCACGGAAGCAGCCCAGAGCCAAACTGGTGCCCTACATCGACACCAAGTCCAAGGGCTCTCGCTTCACCGCGCTTCACTTTGCTGTGCGCAACAACCAGCCCGAGGCGGTCAAGCTGCTCATCGAAAAGGGCGCCCACATCGAAGCGCCCGACGTCAACCGCATGACGCCCCTCCACCACGCTGTTGCGCTGGGCTTCGTCGATGTTGCCAAGGGTACGCACACTCAGTCTCTCACGATCTTAACCATGCCCCGCTGGGGCACGATTGACCGGCCGGTTGCTCGACACCAGAGCTGGTCGAAGCTGGCTGCAACATCGAAGCTGCAGACAAGCTCAAGCGTACGGCCGTCATCCATGCTGCGCGCAACGGCCAGCTCGTCGCCCTAAACTACCTGCTCCGCATGGTAAACGTCCCGCGACATCGTCTTGTGCATTGTGAATGCGAGGGAGAGAGAGGAAAGAGAGACCATATTGCCATGTGGTCCTAATGTCTTTTCTCTTCACAGAGCGCCGCTGCTTGTTGTGCCGATTCGTCAACGAACACGGCAGCCCACTATGCAGCGGCATTTGGCTGGCGGGCGTGTCTTGAGCTGCTCGTCGAAAATGGCGCCGATCCCAATGCGCCCAACGACTGGAAGACGACGCCCCTGGCCATCGCCCTGCAGAAGGGCCACCTGGCCTGCGCCGACTTCCTGCTAGAGCAGCCGAGCGTCGACGTCAACATCCGCGACGACGACGGCCGCACTCTGGCCTCCCAGCTGATGGACATCGTGTGCGAGTCATCACACAAGCAACTCCAATACCTCATCGAGAAGAAGAGCGCTGACGTCACCACGCCCGACACCAAGGGCCTCACACCACTGCACTACGTCGCACAGAACTTCGACCCGGTCCAGGCCGCGGCCGAGTTCAAGGCCGACAACGACAACAGCGACGCGGACAGCACCAGCCCTAGCGTCAATGCGGGGAAGGACGACATGGACGTTGACGGAAAGGACAAGGGTAAGGAAAAGGGCGATGATGATAAAGAAGAAGTAGGCGAGAACGACGAGCCGAAGAAGAAGAAGAAGAAGACGTGGACGAACTGGAGCGTGGTGATCGCGAAGATGCTGATCAAGCACGGAGCGGACGTGAATGCACAGACCAAGGACAAGTCGACGCCGCTCATGCTCGCCAAGACACGCGACAATGAAGAGCTCCTCATCCTCCTGCTCGACAATGGTGCACAGATAGCCGCCATCCATGTCCAGGTTCGCTTGTGTGGGTGTGTGTGTGTGTGTGTGTGTGTGTGTGTGTGTGTGTATTGGCTGTGTGTGTGTGTAGTGGTAGTGGTAGTGGTAGTGGGGTACGCCACTAACTTAGTAGCGTGCGATTTGCTGCGTAACAGGATCGCAATGTACTGCACCAGCTGACGCCGCAGTTGATGGAAAGGGACTTGTTGCCCCTGCTCGAGGCCATCGCACGAAATGTGGGCGAGCAGCGTTTCAAGGAGATGGCCAGAGAGCTTGACGACGAGGGATTCACGCCGTTCCTGCGCTTCGTCCAGCACTACGGCATCTGGTCTCCCGACCACAAGGCGAAAGTGCCGTCCCGCACCAAGCAAGGTACACACTCCTTCACACGACACACACACACACACACGGCCAGCAATCAGCTGATTGGTTCATCAAATGATTGCGGAAAAGCTCCTCCGGTGGTGAATCCCGAGGAGAGGAGGCGGCAGGAGAAGGCAGCCAGAGACAGGTTCCGTCGATTTCTGGTTCGTTTCATCGAATTGGGTGCGGTGGACACGACCGCTCCGGTGCGGTCGACCAAGGCGTGGCGAGATTGGAAAAAGGCAGACCCCCAGCCCAAGCAGTCCCCCGGCAAATACTCCCTTACTGACGGGCGCCGTACGGCGCTGCACTTTCTCGTGAGCCAACCTGACCTGCTGTCCGACTTCATCCACGAGTACAAGCTCGACATCAACGCTCAAGACCGCAAAATGGAAACTCCGCTCCACTTGGCCATCAATGGCGATCGCCAGGTAAGCACAACTGCAACCGAAGATTTTGTTTTACTTATTATTATAAGATTATTATGGTCATTTTGCTAATTCTATCTTTTTGAAGGATGTCTTCAACATGTTGCTGGCAGAGTCATCGATCAATGCCAACGTGGCCGACAGTTTGGGCACACTTCCGCTTCACCTGGCCGTGAACAGGCAAAACCTGGCCATGGTCGACGCCCTACTCCAGGCCAACACCGACGTCGATAAATGGCAGCGTGGAAGGTACGGCGTAAAGTCTGTTCGTTTATGTTGCCGATTTTAACTCGTTGTCGTGGCTGCTGCTGCTGCTGCGCCTCTTTCTCTGCCGACAGGGCGGCGCTACACACAGCCGTGGACTGCTGCAATCTGGCCATCATCAATTCCTTACTCCGGGCCAAGGCCAATGTCAACATTCAGGATTCGCAACACAAGTACACGCACACGCCCCCTTGTGATCTCATATGCTCATTCCCCCCCCCCAAGGACGCCGCTACATTACGCGCTTCAGCGCAAGAACATGAACCTGGTGCGCATCTTGGTCCAGGCCGGTGCAGATGTCAATGCCTCCGACAACAACGGCTCAAGCGGCCTTCACTACGCCGTCACCTATGCCGAACGTACGTCACGATGACTCACACATCAAAAGCAAGAGAGAAAGAGACACTGAGGTTTCGATAATGTCAACTACAGCTGGCGCGGACGCCTCGTTCGAGATTGAGGACTTCCTGCTGAAGAAAGGGGCCAACGTCAACAAGCGCGACAACCACGGCCGTGTTCCGCTGCACTACGCGTTCCTGAAAACGGGCAACCAGAATACGCCCATCGACCCGATCGAGACAGTCTCCTCGCTCTGCGCAGTAAGGGGTACAGTTTACAGCTGTTTTCTCACCATCCTCACCCTGGCGATTGTTGCCAACAACGCTCATCACGGAGAGTTGTGCTTTTTTTTTGTCTGGACGCACCAGATCTGGAGATCGACGTGGCCGACAACCACAAGCGCACGCCGCTGCATTACGCTGCACAAAGGGGCGCCACCACTTGTTCGCTCCTTCTCCTCAATCGCAAGGCCGGTCTGGAAAATCAGGACGAGGACGGTACTCCTCCTTGTACCCATTTTATAGCTCTTTTATTTTTCTTGTTAATATTTTCTCTTCTTATTTGCGCGCAAAAATTGTGGTACTCGGACAGGAAACACTCCGCTCGGTCTAGGACTCAAGAACGGCCATGGCGACTATGCCATCGTGCTCCTCCAGAAGAACGCCAATGTCAGGCATCCGATCTACAACGTGACTTGGGGCTTCGCACACGATGAAAATCAACGCCACAAGAGGGTGATAACACACTCCACCTCGCGCTCCATGTTCTACGAGGCCGTCAGTCGAGGATGGCAGGGCGTCTCCTACATGGTTCGCTCACCCCCTCCCGCTCCTTCTCCCTCTCGCTAGCTTTCGCTTTCACTTCCCCGCCGTCGTGGCCACAGTTAACTGTTGTTGGGGTGCCCACCTGCCTGGCAGATGCTCGATGCCGGACTGGACAAGCTGACGGCGCTGACGGATGCCATCAACACGGGCAAGTTCCAGCTGGTGGTCACCCTCCTCTCCAAGACCCCGGAGGACGAAGTCGTCCAGGGCCTCGACGCCGACGACCGCACCCTCTTCCATCATCTCGCCAACTACTGCAGTGGCAAGCTCGACCACTGGGCACAGGTGCGTCCGTCCGTCCGTGCGTGCGTGCGTGCGTGCACTGACGCTTGAGCGGTATAGACTCTGGCCGAGAAGCTGGAAGAGCGCGGGGTGGCGATGAATGTGATCGACAAACACGGCAGGTTGCCTCTCCACTACGCATCGAAAAACGGCTGTGGCGTTCTCGTCGACTTCTTTCTCAAGCGAAGCAAGAGCGACGTCAATCTCATTGACGAGAACGGCAAATCGTACGCGCGCCACCGCTCTCTGGTGACAAACAATCGAGCGTGCGCACTCACCCGCGGTTCACCACCCAATCTCGCACAGGCCTCTCGTGTATGCCGTATTGGGTTCCCACTTGCAGGTGGCGGAGCGGCTCATGGCCAGGAAAGCCGACTGCAGTGTCATCATCAAGAATCCTGAATACGAGAAGACCAAGCAGGCACAGAACACAACACACAGCACACAGCACAACACCTAGGCTAACTGTTCACCGGTCGTACTACGTGCAGGCTCTTGATGCGCGGGTGAAGCAGAAAAACCAAGCGCACGGCAGGCATAACACGCCCGAAAAGAAGCAGAGGCGCCACGCCAAGGCTGCGGCTGCACTGTCCAAGGTCGCTCAGGAGACCCACCTCGTCATCTACGCGATGCGGGCGTCGCTTGCCGACCTCCTGAACCTGCTCCTGGCCAACAAGGCCGACCTCAACGCAAAGGACAGCCTGGGCAATACGTGTCTCATTTACGCCGTGCGCAACAACGACACGGACATGGTCCACCTGCTCTTCACCAAGCGGCGTGGCGCCGCTAAGCCCGGCCCGTCGTCTTCGTCGTCTTCGTCATCGGCACCGCCGTCGTCGTTGTCTCCCGCCGAGCCGGAGCTGATGCTGGAGAACGAAACCGGGATCGATCCCAACGTGCAGGACGAGCAGGGCAAGACCGCACTGCACCACGTCGTGAGCCCGCTCGACTACGGGTCCTACGAAAATGTGGCACTGCTCACCATGCTCCTCAAGGCCGGCGCAGATCCCAACGTCAAGGACAACCAAGGTATTCCCCATTTTTACCAGCAATTATCATTATTATTATTATTATTATTTATTGATTTTTATATATCTGTTGTCTCATGACGGCATGGTTGGTTGCAGGGCATACTCCTCTTTACTATGCATTGCAACAGAGAGACGGGGTCATGGCGGCGAGACTCCGTTCGCTGGGCGCCAAGCTGGACAAGAAGGAGGAGGCCAACCTCCCGCGTCAGGCGTCCTTCGTTCTCTCCGATCAGTGGATCAGCGACTACGGCATCCCACCCGTACGTGTGTGCGCGTGAGTTGTGTGTTGTGTATTGTGTGTGTGTTGTGTGTGTTGTGTGTGTGTGTGTGTATGTGTGTGTGTGCTGTGTGTGTGGTCTAAAATACAGAACGGCAACATCAGGTGGATTGGGAGCACGATTCGGCGGAACTGCTCAACAACCCGCCCGAGCCCAGTGACGAAGAGAAGGCCGAGCAGCAAGAGAAGGCTCGCGAGAAGCAGAAGCACGCCCACCCCGTCGACAAGAACTTTGACCAGCGGCAGAACTCCGAGGTAGCCCCCCCCTCGCGCCTCTCCTCCCCTCTTGTTAATTGCTGGCCCACGATTTCTCACACACCACCGGGGATGTGCGCCTGTGTGCCGGATCGCGGCCAGGTGTACGCTGAGAACAAGGGCGAGGTGTACGACGTGACGCTCACCACTGTCGACGTGCGTTACGGGACCCACGGCATCAACAACTTTTACAAGATGCAGGTCATCCACAACAAGCTCAAGGACTTTTACATCCTCTGGACCAGGTACGGCTTGGCTACGCCATGCTCTTGCCGAGGGTGGTCATGTTCTTCTCCGTCGCAACTGAACGACACGCGTCTTTCCCCCTAAACCCAATTCGTGGTGGTCTCCAGGTGGGGCCGCATCGGGGACGTCGGACAATACCAGCGCACACCCTTCCCAACAGCGGAGGCCACAGTCGAGGAGTTCAAAAAGATATTCAAGGCCAAGACCGGCAACTCCTGGGAGGACAGGTAGACACCACCCCACCCCACCCCCACCCCCACCTCACGCCACGCCACGCCACGCGCCCACTGACACGACGTGGATGCTACGCACGCACTCACAGGGCCAACTTTGAGAAAAAGCCAAAAAAGTATCACATGATCAAGCTGGAGACCAACAAGGAGAAGCTCGTTGCCAACCTGCTCAAGCCCTTTGACATCGAACTGGAGGATGAGGCGCAAGGCGGGGGCGCGGCCGCCGACGCCCACGCCAAGCCATTGAGCGTCGCATCACGATATCCGCCATCGAAGCTGCCGCTGTCGATTCAGCACGCCATCAAGGCCCTCACCGACTCCTCCATGCTCACCCAGGCCATGCAGACGGGTAGCTCGCCCAACTTCACCTGAGTATTTTATTGCTTATTGCTTATTTTATTTTTATTTTGTTTTTGTGAAATGTTGTGTGCAGAGGGCATCGATACGGAAGCGATGCCGCTGGGCAGGCTCACCAGGGACGGCATTGACGCGGCCATGCAGATCATCGCCGACCTCCGCAAGCTTATCCGCGAGGTTCCTATATGCGCCGCTCTACGTGGCCGTCATAGCTACCACGATGACAAAGAAGGGGAAGAAGAGGAAAATGCTGTGGAGGAGGCCAATGCAGAGGCGGATAACGGAGCAAACGGAGAGGGAACAAAGAAGAAGAAGAAGAAGAAGGAGCTCACCCTGGAGGAGGTTCGCAGTGCCCCCCCTCTCTGCTGTGTGCTGTTCGTTGCTCACCGCCAATCCATCGGTGTGAAGATGCGGGAGCTGTACGAGGAGATCGCGGAACTGAGCAATCGGTTCTATGAGCTGATCCCGCACGCCGAGTATACCATCGAGTCCATCCCTCCGCTCAACACCAACGACCTCCTCAACAAAAAGGCACAGCCCTCCCACGACCATACGCTGTAAAGCGTTCTTTAGTGTTTCAAGCTGACACGCACACACACACAAACATGTTCACAACACACAACACACGCGCGATCAGTTTGTGATGTTGTCCAATCTGGCCGAAATTCGCACGGCGGCCAAGATCCTGTTGGGGGCACACTACCGCGTGAAGGAGATCAACCCGCTCGACTACTGCTACTCGGCCATGCACATCCGCCTGAGCCAGCTGCCCAAGTGCTTTTCTCTTCTCTTCACGCCCCATTCCTCCTCTCTTTCTCTATCCCTGTCTCTGGTCCTTGCTTGGAGGTGATGTGCGTGTGCATGCGTGTGGAGAGCTTATGCCATGTCACATGGGGCGGACAGGGAGACGGACGAGTACAAGATTCTTCGCCAGTATATCAAGCGTTCCTCCCCGAGCGTCTTCGTCACCAACATCTACCACCTCCAGCGCAAAGGCGAACCTGAGAGGTACAAATCTATTCTTATTTTTCTATTTTTTTTTGTTTTTAACAAATAAGTTTATTGATTAGAGGCAGGAGTTTGTGGTTCGTTCGTTGCTGATGGTGCGCGACGCGTCCGCAGGTTTCAGGAGAGGTGGGAGAAGGTGCCCAACCACCAGCTGCTGTTCCATGGCTCGGCCCTGTCCAACTTTGTCGGCATCCTGTCCCAGGGCCTCCGCATCGCCCCTCCCGAGGCGCCCTTCAGGTACCCCTTCCAGCCCATCCCTCCCTCAATGGGTGGCCTCATCCAATTGAGGGCATTTCTCATGTGCGGTGATGCATGTGTGTGTGTGTGGTGGTGCGTGTGCGTGTGGTTTCTGTGTAGCGGCTACGCGTTCGGTAAGGGAATATATTTTGCCGACATGTTCCAGAAGAGCTTCGGCTACTGCCGCATGGGGCACACCGGCAGCAGGCACAGCCAACCGGAGAGGAAAAACGTACCACGCACCCGTGCCTCTCTCTGCTGTCCTTGGCGCAACATCTGCGCTTGTTCACACACACACACACACACACACACGCACGCACATACGACAGACTGGATTCATGCTCATGTGCGAGGTGGCCTTGGGCGAGATGAACGCCATCACGCAGGCCGAGTACATGGAAAAGGCTCCGCAGGGCTTCCATTCCACCAAGGGTAGGCCTTTTGGCGACACCCTTTCCCTTGGTTGTCACCGCTTCGCCTTTGGCTCAGTGCGTACATTTGTGCGTGCCAGGAATCGGACAGCGCGGACCCGATCCGAGCAAGACCATTGTGGTGCCCAGCGGTGTGACCATCCCTGTCGGTGAAATCATGCAGTACCCCAAGACTCCTGGCCACCACTACGGCCTCCAGCACAACGAGTACGCAGCCCACTTCTACCGGGAGCAACAACACTCGCGAAATCATGACTCATACCCATGCAACACACCACTAGGTATATTGTGTATGACACGTCACAGGTGCGCATGCGGTACCTCATCAAGCTCAGTGATAAGGACCCCAGGCGGTGCTGGCAATCCTTGTGAATTTGGCCTTTGTCTTGAGAGGGTCAGGTGCACACTTTTCTAATTCAAAGTTCACATTATATGATCATGAAGAGTGACAAATAAGTTGCACGCGCCGACGACGATGGCGCGCCCCCCGCTGAACCCAACGACATTGTGCGCGCTACGCAGCTCCACATTTTGGGCGGTCTCTTGCCGAGCGCAGGGCCTGCTACGGGCGCTGACAGCGCTGGCGGTGCTGCCACTTTGCGTCTCATCGAATACACCTACCTCTTTCGCGGCGCCAGGCGGCGTGTCTACCTCGCTGCCGATTCAGACGGCATACAGCAACTCGACGCTGCCGCCCGTGCCCGTTTCGGACTGCCTGCCGAGGCTGCCCAGACCGCTCGATGCATCGGCCATATCCACCGCGTCTGCGTGCCGCGCGCCGTCCCCCTGTGCCATTATTGGCGACCACTATTACGTGGCTGGCGCCCTGCCGTACGAGCATGTGACCGCCAAGGGCTACCTGACTGTCGGCGTGCTAGGCTACGTGGTGCCGACCATCAGCATCACTGAGAGCAATCAGTGTGCAAGCCAAGACTGGCACGCTCGGATGCCGGCAAAGCTGCGCTCGGCCCTGACCGGCAACGTGCCCCGTATCGCGTATACAGAGTGCGCGACCGCGCATTGTGGCGGTAGAGCTCTACCGACTTTGGCTCGAACGCAACCCAAGCCGATTTCGTTTGTCGAAGCCGCTTATGCACTCCCTCCCGCCGACCGATACGAAGAACGCAACCGCACCCTCAAGCGCTATTTTGCCACCGCCCTCACGCCGACGGGCTGGCAGCAAGTGCGCGATGGGGGCAAGTCGGCCATCATTGTATCGGCGCAAAAGGCGATCAGCGCCACCGAGTTTGACCCGCGCGACGCCGAGCGCGACACCCACATCCGCGTCGCCATGCTCGGCCTGGCTGATCTTTTGGGCCAGTCGGGCGTCGCCGTCGAGGTGGCCAAGGACGGCGAGGCGTCAGACATGGCGCTCCTCAACACGCTGCCGGTCTCTGCGCTGTGCGTCACGCTACGCTTCCGCGAGCTGGGCGGCCTCGACTTTGAGGCCTTTGCCGCAGCCGACCCCGCCGTCCAGCGCCGCTGGGCATGTCGCATACAGACCCAGCTGGCCTGTGCGCTGCGCGTGCCTGACGACGAGGTGGTGATCATGCGCGCCATCAAGGGCAGCGTCAAGGTCGAGGCCATCATCGCACAAGACATCATCGGCAACAAGATTAACAAGGACGACCTGCGCACGCTCGACGTCATCTATGCCACGCTCGACGACCGCTTCCGTAAGCTCTATGCCGACAGCTTTATGGAGGCCGACGTCACGCTGCGGTCACTCGCCACGCGGTTCAAGCTGGCGCCATCCGACTTTGACAGCCGGGGTGACTTTGCCTTTCCCAACGCCAAGGGCGACAAACAACAGCGTGGCGGCCACATCTACCACCAGCCCAACTCGTGCTGGCGGCGCCTCGGGCTGCGTGTGCTGGGCCTCTACGACGATGGCGACAAGTGGATTAGCATGAACAATGCCGAGGGCGAGTGGATGGTGGGCTTTCACGGCACCGGCGGCAACCCCGGCAGCGAGCACCGCAACAGCGCGGCGGCCTTTGGCAATATCGCCAAGACGCGCGTCATTGTGCCGGGCGACGCCAACGCCTATGGGGGCGAAAAGACAATGAACCAGGCGACAGGCGTGCCGCTCGTGGGCATCTACTTTGCCAACACGATCGACTCGTGCTACCGCTGGCGCACCAAGGACCCGGCGACGGGCGACACCTACGAGCTAGCCTTTCAGTGCCGCATCGACCCCAAGGGCGCCTGGGTGCCCAGCAGCAACACCAGCTACATCATCGCCCGCACCCCGGTCGATGTGCGGCCTTATGGCATGCTCTTGCGCAGGCTTTGATGTGTGGCGCGCGATCAAGCGGGAGTCCCGACAAAGGGGGTCTTTTGCCGTGGCGCCATCGCCGGCCACCAACACGCAGGCCGCTTGGTCCGGCTTGGCTGCTTTTGCGTGCTGTGTGCTGCTTTTCCTTTTTCTCCATCAACGCATAAAGCCTGGTAGCGCTGCGCCTGCCATCTAGCTCAGAGCACGGCACTTCTTTTTATTTCATTTCATGGCTCTCGGTGGCAGAGGCCTGATCAATTGCTCCTTTGCGGCGCGATGCCAGAGACCCGAGAGCCCTGAGAGCGCAGGATGACAACGCCGACCCGCATCGCCGTCTTGGCCGCGCAGGCGCAAACAAAAGCACATGGCGTTTGCATCATGCCCTTTTGTTTGGCCGCCCTGAGGTGGGGCTCGGTGGCTGCCGCTGCACAAACTGGTCAGTCGTGAATCAAGCAAAAACGTCCGGTTTGGGCCAAGGACACAAAATGGAAACCGCCAGCGGCATTTGTTGCGCAACAAGGCATCAGCCAGCCAGGGCTTGAGACGAAGACCAAGCGGCATAATCCTGACATCATGGAGAACAACGACAACACGGCTGACAGACCCAGCAAGCGCAAGCGAGAGGACGCCGGCTTTACGCCGGATGCCGACGCTGGCGCAGTCACGCAGGATAAGCAGCAGCAGCAGGTGCTGCCGTCACAAGATCTCCTGGAGCAAATGGCCACGCAGGACGACAACCACCCACCGGCAAGCGGGGACCAAGACGTCACGAACGAGGCCATCGGCCGTGCGCTAGAGGCATACATAGCCAAGCTTCGCGCCTATTCGGCGGTGATATGCGAGTCTGACACCTCGCGCGAAAACAAGCTGGCATGGGTCGACACGTTGGTAGGTCTGTACACCGACCTCAAGGACTGGTATGGCCCCGTGTGCGACGACCCGTGAAAGTAATCATGGGCACCAAAAGCTTGTTGCTCTGTTGCTTCTGATACTGCTACTTGTGATTGTGAATAAACTTGCACATCTGTGCCAGCGATATCTACATGGGCCAGCGAACGAGCCGGCATAAAGAGAAAGAGAGAGAGAGAGAGATAGAGGTCGGCTTAAAAAGAAAGAACGCCGCCAACACATCGGGCAAAGGCATCGCCCCCATTAGAGCGCTGCGCCCCATGACGCATCAAATCTGTAGCAGCAGCAGGGCAAGCCAAGGCCGCCTCTCAACAGCAACAAAAGCTTGGTCCAGCGATTGCGCTGCGAGCTGGCCGTACAGCTGGACCGGGGCATTGCGTGCAGTTTGCCCGCTGTCTGCCTTCACTATGATAGCCACAAGAACAAATTACAATATTTTAATAATTATATTTATAAAAGACTGTTTCTGAACAACGAGGACTCGCAGCCGCCAGGCCTGTTGCGCAACGCGACTCAACCACGACAACAACAGCAACAGCAACAACAACAATAAAAACGACGGCAACGCCCAGCACCCGCAGGCCATGCAGCGCGGCCACGACACCGAGCGCGCCCACTACGAGCACAGCTTGCCTCTTGAGCTCCAACAGCAGGTCACCGCCCGCCTCATTGTTTGCCATCCGCATACTGCACTCGCGATAGGGTCCACAAACCGCGCTCAGGCAACGATTCTGGAAGGAGCACTGCTGCCCCTTGTCCGCGACATGCCCCTGCGCGTCGGCGAGGACAGCGGGGCAAAGGACGCGTCGGTTGCGCCCAACACCCACCTGTTTCGGTGTGCCGTGCGCCTAACGCGGGGCCAACCCCACCAAGTGCGCGACGCCGTCGCACTTTGCCTTTTGGAAGGCTTTGCCGCATACGTCATAGGCCGGCGTCGTCCTCAGATATGGCGTGAGCTAGAGTCAGCCGAGATACCTCACCCGGCATTTCCTGCATCAAGCAGTGTAGCCATCGTCGACCGCATTACCGCCGCCCTCGAACCCGCATTGGGCGTGGCGGGGCTGCTCGACGCGTGGCGTCTGTGGCTTGTGTGCGATGTGGCGTCCCCTGCAACCGAGCAGTTTCATCAAACGCGCACAACGGCGCTGCAAGGCCCCATCGATGCATTCCTCAAGACCGAATCTTGGAGCCACTACCTGGCCATCACCCGAGCACACAACTGCCGCGATACGCTGGCGGAAATGGGCAATCGTTTTGCGGCCTCTGCCGTCATGATCGGCCATCGAGTGATAGGGCAAGCAAGGCTGCCGTCGCCGCTGCCGCAGAATGCGCTCCTCGTGTTTGGCTGCAACGATTTCAACTACTTGACGCCCTTTCTGGATGCTGCGACGGACCGCAATCTTCGTGGATGGTACCGGAGCGGTGCGCCTGACAGCGCCTGTATTGATGCAGCCGGCCAGGCCGAGGCGCTTCAGGCAGTGAACAGCTACATGGACAAAACGGTCGAGCTCAACGTGTTGGCCGGACAAAGGGGCGCGGTATGGAGCCAAGGCCGCCTCGCGCTGCCGAGCTTTGTCGCCTTTTTTGGCGCTCAATTCTACTTGGCGCCCCTGATTGATAGACAGGCCGGCTTGGCGGTCGACCTGGGCGATTCGTTCTTTGCGCCGCTGTTGGAGGGCGCTGACAACACAGCCGCAGTACCAACTGCCTGCGTCGAATAGCTGCCTATTTAATTTTGTGATAAGGAGGCCACCATCAAACAAAAACCGACCCAATTAGCGTCCCTTGTTTGCCAATAATGCCCAACGCTTTGCCGGCGCACAAGTCCAAGCCATCGACATGTTCAAAGAGTGTCAGACCGCCGAGCGGTTGGATCGCTATCACAGTCACGCCGACGCGAGCAAGGAACAGAACGGCACTTACTGACCGTCAGTCCCCCATGAGTCGGGCCTGCGTGCCAAGTATCACCGATCGCATGTCTTGTCGGCTGTTTTGGTCCCGAACGAAATGGGAATGCCTGCCAAAGTCGTCCCCACTCGGCGCAATGCCAACATAAAATGTTCTTGCAGCTCAGCCTGCTTTTCTTTGTCGCAAACCTTTAACCAACTTTATTTCCTCTGCTCTCATTGCACAATGTCACAACCAACCCTCCGCCATACAAGCCGCCAACACAGTCGCCCGACCGCGCTTTGCGAGGCCATAATAACAAAGACTGGCAATACGCTCCTCATTGAGGAGCAGTGCGCGCCAGCTTTGGAGTTGGGCCGTCTAGGAAGGCGGTCTTTATGCGCTCATGGCTGTTCAGCTAGGCGCCCACGTTGGCCTGCTCGGGAGGTGCTCTGCTCGGTCCTTGGCAACTGCATGGATGGCGGCAGTGGTGCTTGCGACTTGCACGCCTACGTCTTGCTGCGACGGCCCGCCCAATGTTTGCCAACTTTGCCGACGACAGCGCGCTATATCGACAGCCCGCTGGTGTTGAACGCCCAGGATATGTCGCTGGCGCGTTGGTTGCGAATCACCGATGGCACGGCTTGGCCGACCTTTGCGCGGGGTTTGGACGGCGCAGTCGACCTCGATCGTGTTCGCCTCGTTCGCCTTTCCATCACGGCCAAACCAAACGTTTTCAGCCTCGGCCAAGCGAGTACCGGGCAAAACCGAACCGGCCGCCGTCGCCGCAATAGAAGCGGCTTGCCTGCGCTTGGCGCAAACAACACCATCGCTGATGCCGCCCGGTGTGTGGCCGCAAATGCGCCCGGCCAATTGCAAACGCACAACGGGGGCAAACTGTGTGACGGCGCCGCGCTGCGCTTGCTGCTTTGGCTTGCGGCATGGGGCGACGACGATCAGCTCTCAGCGCTAGCCGCGGAGCGCATCTGCTGTGCCGATGACGCAGCCACGGATGACATGGCCGTGTCGCTCGCGATCAATGCCTTGGCCGTCGCTGTATCGTGTGCGGACAGGCGCGATAAAGACCGTGACGGTAGCATCAACTCGGGCACTATTCGTTCCAAAGCAGAACCGTCGCCGGGTCGGACCGGCGCGATAAGGCTTAGGCCTTTTGTTCGCACGGTGCATGAGCTCGCACAACATGCCAACGCGCTGGCCGAACCGGGACGCGATGCAATGCTGCCAACATGCTCGGTGTGCTTGGTCGACGCGCCGGCGCTGGTGCTCGAACCGTGTGGCCACGCGTGCCTATGCCAAGACGACTGGCAAAGCCTGCTCGACCGACAAAAGAGCCGAAATAGTGTTCGGTGTCCGCTCTGTCGTGTCAACATTGAAGCTGCTTGGGCCTTGCGCCCTTTGTGGAACGGACGCATGCGGCCGACCGAGGCCGTTCCAGATACCATTCCAGTTTGCTCTGTGGCAAGTTGTGACGCCGAGCCAAACTCTGGCCAAGCTCGCGCTCGTACCACAAGAAACGTGCCTATCTCACGCGCAGAGAATTTAAACGCAACGCCGACGATTGTTTTAGACGGCCGCCCTTCCGACGTCGAGGTGCACCATGCTCAACAGGCCGAACCGAGATCACCAGGAGGAACGCCAAATAGCGCGGCTGCCCCTCGCGTGCAAGATGCCGGGATTGCGCAGCTTGCGCCAAGGCGATTACTGCCGCGTATTCGGCCCTCGGCGCTCGAACAAAGCAGAGAGATAGCACTGCCACGCTCGACATTGCATTCTACTCAAACGCTGCACCGCACCGACTTTCAAACCGCGCTTGCAAGCGAGCGTCTGGCTGGCGGCGACGACAGTGACACGTTTGTTTTCACGACACAAGACAACAACGATGGCAACCAGCGGAGCTACAGGCCTCGGCAGCGGCATGGCTCCAAGGGTCTAGTTTCCTTTCCGTTGGGCAACCGCGGACCGGCGGGACAGGCAGAAGATCCGGGCCTCCAGCGCGCCTTTCTCAGCCCACAAACCATTCCCGCGAGAATGATGGCCCTTTCTATCACGGAGATACTCTGCGAGCTGTAGGACATGCGGCATTTGTCTTTTTCGCATAAACTATTGCAGTGGGGATAATAGCAGCAGCAGCAGCAACAGCAGCAGCAGCGGCAATAGCAACAAGAAGCGGTACAGGTCCGCCAGTTAAAAAGCCCATTCAGGTCAATAGGACGCGAGATGAAGAGACATAGCGGTCGCTCTGTGGATCATACGCCGCAAGATCGAGCGCTGTATACCACGTTTGGGATGCGCCATCCCAAGCCGCAAACGTACCCACTTATTTCAACAGCCGAACGCACAGCGGCCATTCCCTATTGTCGAACTGGCAGGTTGGCGTCTCGCCTAAGATGCGTTTTGCGATGTCGCCCCATCCCGCCGCGAGAGTTTGCCAAGCTAATTTCGATCATGGACCATTGTGCCGGGCTGCCCGACCGCCACTGCGATCGCTATGTGCGCCTTGCGGCCCATGCCCTGCGCGGCCGCGATAAGACGTGCACGACTCGCCGCAATAGTTCACCATCGCGCCCGGCAGCGGCGCAAGATGGCGGCCAAGAGAGTAGTCTCAATATCTTGGAGGTGCGTATTGCCCAATTTGCGGCACTGATGGCCAAGTGCTACCGCATTTGCCCGCTTGTTGGGCCGTCGCCTTTAGCAGCCGGCCTGCAAGGTCAGACATTGGCGAGCCAGCGCGGTTGCGCGTGCGGGCAATGCCTCTTGCCGAAAGCGACAGCAGCAGCAGCCGCAACCACTTCAACGCTGCTGGCGTCGAGTGCAGCCATAGGAGCCAGCGAGCCCCATACACCACGTTTGGTTGCAAAACGTCTGGTCAAAGGAGATGCCGGCTACGTCCTAGAAGCAGCACAGTGCGACCGCGCTATGGCTCAGCTGGCGCTATACGAGTGCAACGGCGAACGGGGTGCGGCGATAAGTCTGTTGTTGGCGCCTTTGGACAGGCAAACTTGGGCCATGACCCGGCAAGGTCAGGAATAAAACGGCCAGTCTGAACAAAGGCGGATGCCTGCCGCGGTGGGGCCATGCCACCTGTGTCGCAAAGAAAAAAAACGCTTGGGTGTACTGGCCAGGGCATCACACAAGGCTGCCGCGGTCAGCGCGGGCGCGGCACAAATGCTGTTTGCCGTATGCCCATAGTTTTATATATTTATAATGAAAAAAGTAAATTATCACGCCCCGCACCCCGTTCTTGCTGCTCGGGGTGCGTGCCTCTGTGTATCTGTTAGCCTCTGCCAACAAGCGGCCTGTCGTTTTCGGTTATAGCATCATCGTTCTCGCATGCAAACAACATCGCCCGCATTTGTCGACGATCAGACGCCGTTGGTCCCAGCGCCTGAGCGCGATGAGGCTGCTGCACCGCCTCTAGACGATCACGGTTCCGATGAGGCCAGGGCACTTTGGCACGAGTACGATTCCGACGAGGCCGAGCTGCTCTGGAAGGGTTGCTCTTCTTTCGATGCTGACGACAGCAAAGACCATTTGACAGACGAAAATAATGGTGCCAATGGGCCTGCTCGACGAGACTTTTCTGCTCGCAAAGCGTCGCTATTGTTGGGACATTGAAGTCTACTCGCGAGGCGCACCTTATCCCAGTTCGGTTAATTCTGCACGCGATGCCGTGGTCAATATCACGACAATATTGCGACGCGACGATGAAGATGGAGACAACCCCAGAGCCAACGTCTGCCGCTGCTGCTGCCTCTGCTGCCGTTCTTATTTACCTCCAAGAACGAGCAAGTCAGTTTGTGGGGGCGCATGCTTTGCCCCACATTTACGTCCCCACTGTGCCCCCACAGCGTCATTAGCCCTAATGGCGGCCGCAAAGGAGGACAGCGCATACCCATAGCCGCTGCGCAATTGCGTTTCGCAGGTTCAACGTCATCCCCGCCGCCGCCCATGGCCGCACTACCGACGGCAAAGTTTGCTAAACCGTCGGCACGTCTTTGATGCAAGAAATACATACATGCTTCTATTCTCTGTCAAGCACGCGGCGCAATAGCCGTTATGGCGACAGCTTGCGCTTTACGTTTTGTCAGATAGAGCCGTTATGGCAGACAATTCATGCGCAAATCGTAGTAACAAACGGTGGCAAACAAAAAGAAGCATCAATGGCAGAGTAATACTTGGCGGTAGATGGCAGCGGCGCGCCGTTTTTATTTTCTTTTCTTCACTGGCAATGCTTGTCGCGCACGGCGACGCTCGTGACCACGATATGGTGCTCGGTGACATGGGCCAGGTCATCGGATAGGATGTTTGTTGTCACGTAGATCTCCTCAAAGTCATCAAAGAGCCGCGCCGGCAACTGTTTGGCCACCTCGGCCATCGTCGGCTTGAAAAAGCCCACAAAGCCAATGCCGGCGGGCGAGGATACGGTCGGCCGTTTCTTGGCGTGGCTGGACCTGGCAGGCCGAGGCGGCGGAGTTCGAGTCGCAGCGGCGGCCATCGCGTTCTACCATGCACAGAAGGGCCTCAGCAATCCATGCGGCGGCGCCAAGGTCAAGCTCGTCGTGGACGGTGTGGAGCGAGCGTGGAGCGCCAAAGCGGTCAAACACAGGAGGGACCCCTTCCCGGTCGAGGCCCTGCAGGCGTGGGTGCGCGGCAGGGCGTTCGGCAGCGGGATCCCCTCAGCACGACGCGACGCCTGCCTGGTGGCGTTCGGGCTGAGGACGATGCGGCGGGGGTCGGAGCTGGTGGCCTTGCGACTTGAGGACGTTCGGGTGACGGGCAAGAGAATCGTGGTCTGTATTCGAAAGGCCAAGAACGACCAGCTCGGTCGAGGCAGCGAGGTCTACGTCGACGCCACTGGATCGGCGGTGTGCCCGGTTCGGCTGCTCCGGCAGTGGCTAGCGGTGCGAGGCAGGCAGCCGGGCCTGCTGTTCACGAACGTCAGCGGATGGCCGTTGTCAACCAGCGCCATCAGCTCGATCTGCCAGCGCATGGTCGCTGCGGCCGGCCGAAAGGAGTTGGTCACGTTGCATTCGCTGCGTATCGGCGGGGCGACGGCGGCGGTGGAAGGCGGCCTGACGCGCGAGCAGACGATGACCATTGGTGGGTGGAACTCCGGAGCGGTGGATTGGTACCTGCGCGCGCGGGAGCTTGCCACGGTGGGCGTCTCGAGGAGGATGGGGCTGTGAGGGCGGGTGCCCTGGTGTTCTTCGCAAGGAACGTGGTTTTTTCCTGCCTTTGTGTTCGTTCCTTGCCCCTTCCGCTCTCTGTTAGGGCACCCATTCGTCAGCTGTGGTGCGAGTGCTAACGAGTGATAATGTGTAGTTTCTGTGTAAACAGAAACGTACTTTATCACGAGTGGTTAGCACTCGCCCGGCGTGACGCCGGCTTCTCGAGGAGAAGTGACCGCTCGGTGGTGCGACCACCGAGCGTGAGCCGGTGCACCGCTGGTGAGCGGTGTCATGGGCGGCGTTATAAGGGGACGCTGGCTGGCGAGCCAGCAAGTTTTTTCTTCTCTCGCGTGGCGAGAGGTTCCCGCCCGCCCGCCCGCTGGCTCTCCTGCGCAGGAGTGTTGCGGTGTGCGACGCCGCTAGCCAGCTCTCTGGGACGCCTCTCGAGCGGCCCACGGTGGTTACCTAGGAGCGGGAACCACGGAGTTAGGAGGAGGAGAGAGAGTGTGAGAGTGAGGAGAGAGGTGTTTAGGGTCAGTAGGTGTTTCTGATAGTGACCTCATAAACACCCATTCGTCAGCTGTGGTGCGAGTGCTAACGAGTGATAAGTTTCTTTGTTGGCGCTATCCAAGTCGGTGTCGCCATGTTGCCCGGCCGTAAGGCCTTGCATGTCAGGCGCGGCGCCAAGGGCCGCCTTTTCCTTGTCAGACTCGCCGCTGTTGTTGTTTTCGCCTGCAGACGTGGTTGATACGCTGGAAATGGCGTTGGCCCCCGCATTGGCCTCGGCTTCTGCCTCTGTCTTTGTTTTTATCTCCTCGTGGGTGTCTGCAGCAGCAGCAGCAGCAGTGGCAGTAGCAGCAACAGTCGTGGCGGCGTCATTAGCGTCCGAGGGCAAACCGCGGATATAGGCTTGCGCGGCATCGGCGTCGATTTCGGCCAGACGAAAGATTGCCGCATAGCGCTCGCGCGCATCGAGCAGCCCGGCAGCATCGAGCTGGCTAATCAAAATGGCCTTTTCAATCTCAGACTCGTCGTCGTCGGGCAAGCCGGCCGCTGAAATGCTGAGCGCCTTGGCAAGTTCGACGTCTTCCCACATGAGGAAGACGAAGACGGAGAGGAAACATGCACGTTCACGCCAGTGACCGTGCAGGCCCAAATTGGCCCCCTCTCCATTCGTCCACTGCTGGACACCGGGTCGGGGGTATCCCTAATCCCGGGGTCCACAGTACGGCAAATTCGCAGTGCGGGGGCAATGTGCACCCTGCGCCAATATAAGGGCGCTCCACTGCGCTCAGCAAGTGGTGATAACCTGTCTGTGTTAGGACGGGCAATGTTACAAGTCACAATAGGGACCAAAACGTTAGGGATCAACTTCATCGTCGTGGACGCTTGTCCAGCGTCTATGATTATTGGAACGAAGGATCTCTCACGGTTTGGGGCCACGTTGGATCTTTCGTCGCGTCTACTGCGGCTGGGACAAGAGAATGTTCCTCTCTCTATGACCCGACGTGAAGTAGACATGACTTTCGATTTGGTGCTCAAAGAAGAAATCAATCTGGCTCCGCGCACCATGAATTATGTGGCGTGCGTGATGAGAGGAGATCGCGTAAGCGAGCTAACCTTGGGCCAAGAGATTGAAGTGGAAGATGCACAAGAGACCGGGGAACATCAGCCTGGAAAGGACGGCAATATGAAGCCGGTGAACAGGTTGCTGATTGCTCGTGGGCTTGGGTCCATTTTCAAGGACGACGATGATGAAATGGTGGTTGCCGTCAGTGTGGCAAACGTGCTACGCAGCGGCGCTACCTTGCAAAAGGGCACCAAACTGGCCACTGGCGTCACTGGAGTGGAGGACCATATCACGTCTGTAGTGCGGGATGATGACGCCGAGGGGTCATTGCGCTACGCCGACACAATGTCATGGGAGGACACTAAAGGTGGCCTCACGGACAACGAAATTGATCGGATGCTCAAGGGTGCAGATGCAGGACTGACGGAGGCGCATAAGGCGCAGTTGGCAATGCACTTGCGCGACAACAGTGATGTTTTTGCACCGTCACTTGCTCCGCCAGGCGCGGCGTGGCATATCCCTCACTGGATTGACACGCAGGGACACGCTCCCATCAAGTGTGCGCCAATCCGCACCTCCCGCGCTGAGATGTTGATTCAGTATGGGGAGATCGACAAGATGCACAATGCTGGGGTTATTCAACCCTCACAATCTCCGTGGGCATTTCCAGTAGTGCTCGTTCGCAAGAAAGACGGCACTACGCGCTTTTGTGTGGACTATCGTGCGCTCAATAAGATAACGAAAAAGGATAGCTACCCACTTCCACGCATCGAAGACATCTTGGACGGCCTTCAGGGCTCACTCTTCCGCTCGACCTTTGATTTGGTCTCTGGCTACTGGCAAATTCCTGTGGACCCAGCGGACATCGAGAAAACAGCGTTTACAACCCGGGCCGGCACATGGGAATTTACGGTGATGCCTTTTGGCCTAACAAACGCACCTGCTACGTTTCAAAGGGATATGGACATGGTCCTGTCTGGTTTGACGTGGGTGTCGAAGGCATTGCACCGGATCCCGGCAAAATTGCTGCGGTGGAGAAAATGGACCGCCCCACCAACGCAACAGAAGTGCGGACCTTTCTAGGGCTCGCCAACTACTACCGGCGTTTTGTGCGGGGCTATGCTGAAATGGCGGCGCCCCTTAACGCACTTACGTCGAAGGACGCCGAGAAGGCAAACCGGTTCATTTGGTCACCGAAATGCGAATTGGCGTTCGTCACACTCAAGAGAGCACTGACCTCAACGCCCATTCTGGCCTTCCCCGACTATGACCGACCGTTTGAGTTGTACACAGATGCCTCGCGTGTTGCGATTGGCGCTGTTTTGTCACAACGTGATGATGAAGGCCGCGAACGTGTTGTTGCGTACGCAAGCCGCAAGCTCAAAAACGCCGAATCAAATTACGGTGTTACAGAGCTCGAGTTTTTGAGCATTGTAGTGTGGGTGCAACATTTTCACCCATATCTGCACGGGGTTCAGTTTAAGTTGTTCACTGACCATCAGCCTTTGAAAGGTCTGATTGAGTCTTCCACGCGGGAACCGAAAGGTCGCAGAGCACGTTGGATACTTTTATTGCAACCCTATACGTTTGATGTGATTTACAAAGCAGGAAAGATTCACCACAACGCCGACGCCTTGTCGCGGTTGGTGTGTGGTGATTCTGATGACGATGAAGCCGTCACACCCGAGGCGTCTGCTCTACGAGCGGACGTCAATGCTGTCGGTACCACCGCCAATGTGGTGGCTACCGTGGACCGGCCCCGGCAGGAAGCGGCTATCAAGGGTGCCCAGAAGGTTCGCATGTGGGTTACAAACCCATACGCGGACGGGCCCTCCCAAGGAGGGAGGGGCCAGAGGGCGCGGGGAGCCTTAGGTGGCGCCTACGATGGCGCTGATGAACAGCGAGAGAAGGAGGAACGAAGAGTGGTGGACTCGGATGAGCAGGCTGAGAAAGGGGGTGAAGGAAATGCCCGAATTGACAAACCTTCTCTTGTGGAGACCGACGTACAGGTCCCACAGGTTGAAGGTCGTGCTGATGGGGTGGACACCACTGGTGACAACCAGTGCACCCATCTGGACACACAACCTACAATGCTGAGCGATGATGTTGAGCAGCCGGTGGTGGGTACTGATCACACCCTCTGTCAACCGCTCACTTCTTCTTCGGCACCCCAGATTTCAGATCAGAGGGCCGACGCCGCTGTTGCCGCGTCAGCGTTGGCTACGCCAAAATCCGACAATGAGCTACTTCAGCGTATCGCCCACGGGCAGAAGAACGATGATTTCCTTCGGGACGTACTCCTCTATCTGCATGATGAAACCCTCCCCGACAATGCTGCACGCGCGCGGCGCATTGCAACAGAGGTGGCGCAGTGCTTTGTTCGTGATGGCGTGTTGTATCGGTCTTGGTGGCCACAACGTGCAGAGGTCGCCTCCCGCACCCGTGTACAACTGGCGGTCCCTGCAGAAATGCGGGAGGCCGTCATGTTCGCACACCACGATGACATCCTGGCATCTGGGGGTCAACCGAACCATTGACGCTCTGCGGCGTCTCTACTGGTGGCCCGGTATGTACCCTGACATCGAGAAATGGGTGTTGGAGTGCGTGACATGTCAGGCGCGCAAGAATCCCGCAGAGCGGAAGAAAGGGCTGATGATGCCAATGCCGACAGTGAGCCGGCCATTCCAGCGAGTGGGTATGGACCTCATCACATCGTTTCCCCTCTCTGCACGTGGCAACAAATACCTCCTCATCTTCATGGACTATCTGACAAAATGGCCTGAAGCGGTCGCTTTGCCCAATAAGAAAGCCGACACTGTGGCCCGCGCGTTTGTCGAACATGTTGTGTGTCGGCATGGCGCGCCAGAGTCGCTGCTGTCTGACCGGGGGAAAGAATTCATGAATCGCGTACTCAAAGAAGTGAACGCTCTGCTCAAAATTTCGAAGTTGAACACGTCGCCATACCACCCCCAAACGGATGGCATGGTGGAACGCTTCAACTCCACAATCGAGAACATGCTCTCAAAGTTTGTCTCTGACGACCAGAAAGATTGGGACGTCCTGGTACCTTATGTGTTGTTTGCTTATCGCAGTACAACTCATGAGGTGACTGGAGAGTCGCCTTTCTTCCTCATGTACGGGCGCGAGCCGTACTTTCCCTTGGACATCACTCTTAGCCTACAGGTCAACGATGATATGCGCTCCGTTCGCGTATACCGACATGAGTTGGTGACACGGCTGATTCAAGCACACCGAGTGGCTTCAGAACGAATGAAGGAGGCCGGCGAACGCAGCAAGAAACGGTATGATACCACGCGAATGGATCACACTTACCTTGTGGCGGATTTGGTGTGGATGTTTATGTTCGGACTCGAACCGGCGACGTCCTGTCAGACCTGTCCAGTTGGTCAAGTCGCTCACGTTGAACAACGGTCAACTCCGAACTCCCTCCTGTTGCTCAAAGACCTGAGCTGACCGACCAATTAGAACGGACCATAGAACCCTTTAAAAGAACACTGCGTTCTTCTGTTTATTTCATCCCTTCTTTCTCTCTTCTCAAATACATCTCTTCTACCACTACGCCACTACACATAATCCTGCTCCAACAGGTTATGGGCCCACGCTCACCAGCGTTTTAAACCACCCTACCACTTGTTTTACGCCCATCGGTCGCAACGATCCGCGTAACGACTACACGCGCCCACACGCCCATCGACTACCACTTGAACTGCGTGACCGCGCCACCCTACCCGCGCCCACACGCCCATCAACACCGTCGAACTGCGTGACCGCACCACATCTACGCTCGCCCACACGCCCATCGACCTTGTCGAACCATGTGACCGCCAGCAAGAGCGCCCACACGACGTCAAGTGACACGACCTCATGACCACACTTCTCCCCATTTTCAAGTCACTTCATGTCTCACCTGTCCACTGACCCACAAAGACCAAGATGAAGAAGGCTCACAAGGGGATACCACTACTCCATGGCACCAGCGACTACCAAAGGTGGCACTTGAAAGTGATCGCACACCTCAAGTCACTGGGCCTCAAGGACCACGCGACAGGGCTAACTGTCATGTCCAAGAAGCTACACCAGAGTGAGATGGACCTCTCACTGGCAATCCAACACCTTGAGCACAAGAAGCACATCCAACAGACGCTTGGCACAATCAAGAAGCTGGTTGATGACAACCTCCTTCCATTGATCAAGGGTGCCACCACCACAAAAGCTGCGCTTGACATCCTTGAAGCACAGCTTGTAGCAAAGAACACGGCACAGTTCATCACCACCATCTGCAAGCTCTTCTCACTCAAGAAGAAGCCTGAGCAGAGCGTCGCCGTGTACTTCGCCAAGCTTGACAGGCTCATCACGCTCACGGTAGCTGACGCCACTGAGGACATCAAGCACTGTGTCGCCCTCCCAGATCCCAACACGCTCATGGTCGGACAGCTGTCACTGTTCACGATCACATACTCGAACGACCTCCTCTGTCGCTACATCATGAAGCACGCCACCGCCATCGCCCTGGCTGGGCTGCCGGAGGAGTATGAGATGGCCAGGGCCATCATTGGAGACTGGCCAGAGTTTGACACGAACTGCGCACACGCCAAGATCAGCAAGCGTGAAGTGGAAATCGCCCGCGCTGACAGTCCCAGCAGCCACAGAGGCAGCGACAAGCTGCTCTACGCCAAGGCCCAGGACACTTGCGGCCCTCACCGTGGAACCGCACACCATGGCCAACGGCAGAACGGCGACACTCACTGGTCTTGTCACCCCGGCGGCCGCCCAGCATCAGCAACAAGCAGTGATAGCTGGTCACTGAAGCCGTCGTTCCAGAAGCGCAATCGCCCTCTCTGCAACTACTGTCACAGGCCAGGACACTTGCGCGCAGTCTGCCGTCGCCAACTGGCTGACACCGAGCAAGCCAATGTTGCCCACGAAGTCGAGGCGGTCGAGCCCGCCAATCTGGCTGACACAGTGGCACTGGTGGTCGCTGAGACTGAGCTCGCGCTCGTCTCCGCTGATCCGCACGTCACACTGTGGTACCTAGACTCCGGTGCGACATTGCACATGGCTGCCAACCATGACTGGTTCCATGATTATGAGCAACTGTTGAGCCACCCCGTCGCGCTCAGTGACGATCGCACAATCCATGCCGCTGGACGTGGCATCATTGAGGCCAGCGTTGATGTTGCAGGTCAGCGACAGAGGATCCAGCTCCATGACGTGCTCCATGTGCCTAACCTGGTGTGCAACCTTCTGTCCATGTCCCAATTCGCCTCCGCCAGGCTCACCATCAAGATCTCAGCCCAGGGGTGCAAGGTGTTCTCCAGGCGCAATCGCCAGACAGTGCTTCGCCCAGTCAACCTGGGGCGCATGCTGGTGGCCTCCCTGCGCATTGACATGGCCCCCAGTGAGTGAGCGCTGACAGTCAAGGCGCCGCCAGTTGACATGGAGTTGCTCCATCGTTGGCTAGGGCACATCAGTGAATGGCGCGTCCGCGTGTCAACTGGCGTGGCTGAGATTGTCATGCGTGGAGACAGTGTCAAGCAGTGCGAAGTGTGCATCCACGCGAAGCAAACACAGGCACCCATTGGTGCTGGTCCAACTCAGTGCGCCAAAACTGTCATGGAGCTTGTACACTCCGATCTCTGCGGGCCACTTGCTGAAATGCCAGGCGGCCATTGCTACTTTGTGTTGTTCATTGACAACTATATGAGGTACACACGAGTGTACCTCATCAGGGCCAAGACCAGCCTCATGTTGGCGTTCAACAACTACCTCCAAGCCGCGCCCAGTGGACGCAAGTGTCAGTACCTGCGCTCTGACCAAGGCAGCGAGTACATGGGGCGCAAGTTCCAGGACCTCCTATGCATGAACAGCGTCACCCATGTCCCTGTCTCATCACATGCGCCCAAACTCAATGGAGTCGCTGAGCGGTTCAACCACATGGCGCTCACCATGGTTCGAGCCTACCTCGCTGAGTCCAGCATCAAGGAGGAGCTCTGGGGTGAGGCCCTCTACATGGCTGTCCATGTGCTCAACCGCATGTGCGACGCCACGACTGTGCAGACACTGTTTGAGCACTGGTTTGGCAAGCCAGCCACACTTGTGCATGTACATGTGTTCGGCTGCTGAGCTTTCACCCTTGACCACCATGACAAGTGCTCCAAGCTGGGCAGCCAAGCCCGCGTGGCCATGTATCTTGGCCCAGCAAGTGAGCACAACCACACCCACCGGCTCCTCCTTGATGACACTGAGAAGGTGATCATCACACACAACATTATATTTCAAGAGTGAGTCATGCCTGCCAAGCGCGTGGCGACCCCGCCCAGCTTGGAGACCATCAACAACAGTGAGCAGCACATCAAGCCACCCAACGTCCACCTGTACAAGGTGCCACCCACCACGAAGGGCATCCAAGCTGCCAAGAAGACAGGCCGTGGCCACATCGATCTCCATGACGGTGTGATCGGTGCCAACCATGTCAACTTAGCACAGCAAGACAACACAGTTGACACTGATCACACCCGCATGACCAGGCAACGTTTCAACACCCTGCATGAGCTCTCCCATCTGGGAGATCCTCCTGATGACGTCAACATGCCAGATCTCTATGATCCCAATCTCCACCATGCACTCACCATGGACTTGAGGGGCAACACTGAGATCAACCCCGCTCCAAATGCACCCTGTCAATCACAACAGACACACACACCCAACATGCATCTTCAGGAGCTCACCTCCATCACCAGCAAAGCCCCCAAGACACCAAACAGTTACAAAGACACACTCACCTCGCCCAATGCCACTTGTTGGCAGAAGGCAATGCAGGAGGAATTCAAAGCACTCATGCACAATGGGACCTACGTCCTGGTCCCACTTCCACAGGGGCGCAAGCCCATCAGCACCCAATGGCTGTACAAGGTCAAACTACACACCAACAGCTTGATTGACTGCTACAAGGCCAGGTGGGTAGCCAAGGGCTTCACCCAACGCTTCAGCATCAACTACAACAGCACCTTCTCTCCTGTCATATGGATTGAGAACCTCTGGTTGCTACTTGCCTTTGTGAATGCATGCAACCTTGAGATCCACCAGGTCGATGTTGACATGGCGTTTCTCCACGCCAAGCTCACTGAGGAGATTTACATCTCCCAGCCTGAGGGGTTTGTTAACAAGCAATGACCCCACCACGTTGGATGACTGCTGAAGAGCCTCTATGGGCTTAAGCAGGCGCCACTTGAGTGGAACTGCACCATCGACGCCCATCTGTGCAAGTCCCACTTTGAACCCACTGACTTGGACCCGTGCATCTACATTCGTCAAGGCCACCACTTGGCCATCGTCGCACTCTATGTCAACGACTGCACCATCATCACTCACAAGTCCAAGCTCAGGGGCGTCAAGCAGATCATCGCTGACAGCTTCCTGATCAAGGACCTCAGAGAAGCAACCTCCATCCTAGGGATCAAGATCCAGTGTGATCAATCACTTGGCAAGCTCTACATCCAACAGCGCGGCAAGATCAACAACATCCTCACCACCTTTGGACTCACCAACAGCAAGCCAGTCTCCACGCTGATGCTGCCAAACCTACAGCTGCCAGTCAACACCAAGCAACACGACACCTTCAAATACCACAGTGCCATTGGCATGCTGTTGTATCTGGCACACGCCTCACGACCAGACATTCTCTTCCCCATTGCATACCTCAGCCACTTTGCCAACAACTTCAGCCCCAAACACGTCACCACTGTCAAGTGCATCATGCACTACCTCGCTGGCACAGCCAACCTGGCGATCTGCTACTCATGTGACCTCTACAACGACAGGGATGTTGCAACCCATGTACCTATCAGGTACTGTGACGCCAACTGGGGCAACATTGAAGTCAACCGCCAATCGGTCTCTGGCGTTGTCTTCATCTTCTGCAGAGGCGCCATCTCATGGAGCGTCAAGACGCAGAAATGCATCGCGCTCTCCTCCACCGAAGCCGAGCTCAACGCCATCTCCGAGGCAACGCGCCAGGCACTCTACGTGTGCAAGCATCTGCCGGCCCTTGGAGTTGACACCCAACAACCACTCTCTCTCTTCAATGACAACCAGAGCGCACTGGCCATCATTGACATCTTGTCCAGCACCTACCACGGCCACATGAAACATTACGACATCAAACTCACGCACCTGCGCGACACGACCAGTTGAGGTCAAGTCCGCTACAGCTACTGCCTGACTGATGACATGCCCGCTGACGTTCTCACCAAGGCACTTGGCTGCGTCAAGCTCATTCACCACCGCCAACGCATGGGGCTGATCGAGTGACCCGCCACGTGAGGGGCATGTTCAGACTTGAACTGGCAACGTCCTGTCAGACCTGTCCAGTCGGTCAAGTCGCTCACATTGAACAACGGTCAACTCCAAACTCCCTCCCATTGCTCAAAGACCTGAGCTGACCAACCAATTAGAACAGACCATAGAACCCTTTAAAAGAACACTGCGTTCTTCTGTTTATTTCATCCCTTCTTTCTCTCTTCTCAAATACATCTCTTCTACCACTACGCCACTACACATAATCCTGCTCCAACAGTTTACTCCCAAGGTACTGAAGGGGCAAGCAAAGAAGCTCAAGCTGCAATGGCACGGTCCATACCACATCCTTGAGGTTCGGAGTCCACTCGTCTACGTGCTCCAACACCAACAGAACCCGAAGGATGTCCAAATCACCCATATCTCTCATTTGAAGCCACATCGTGGTGGTGATACTATTGATGAGGTGAATGAGATGCTCAAATACACTTACCCCCAAGTGGAAGAAGTGATTGACCTGCAGGAAACAACTACAGAGGCTGAGCAGAAGGAGATTGAGGCGGTCCTCGCACATCAACGCACAGAGAAGAACAAGTTCGAGTTCCACGTCCACTACCGGGGATTCACAACACAA